GGTGGACAGCCTCAGGACTGGGTCGAATCAGCAGACACCCAGTTGGTGTCCAAAGTGTGCCTGGTGCGAGGGGAACACCTGCCACACCTGTGGCCACAGCATGATTCTKCCCTGTGTGCAGAAGGCAATAAAACAGCTGGCTTTTCCTTCGGAACACACTAAGGCTCCTTGTGTCTTGGGACAAGTGACATCTTTTGCATATGTCTGTGGCTCAGCTGCCCAAACCCTTTGGAATTTTGAAGCTGTAAGATTATTATTTTAAATGATCAAGCTGTTGCTCTCATTTGACTGCAGTAAAGCTCTGGGGAGGAATGTGAAGATGGGGTGCCCCTTCAGACACCCTGTCTCAGGGGGCTGGAGTGATTAGKGGAGAGGGGTTGGGCTGGAATTGGGTGGAGACTGGGGATTCTAGACAGTTTCCTTGAACGTTTTTGGCATCTGGGTTGATTCTGACAGTATCTTCTAACAAACATGGGGGGGGGGGTTGAAGAAGAGATTCCTTTCCACTGTCCTCCTCTCTTGGAAAGACTCAGTCAGCTAAGGCTCCTCCTGGGTGGAAACCCTCCCCCACACAGGGCTTCTGGAAGCCCTCCTGTGATGCCAGTTTCTGCAGTTCTTGGCTTTTAATAGTTGCCTATTCCACACAAATGGAATACACCTAGAAATATCTGCAGCCATAGAGTTTTGTTGTGTATATAAACACRTGTTACCTACGGGTTAGGAAATAAGACACTGTCCGTATCTGAAATTTAGATAAGGTGCAAGTTGACTTAGGTTCTCAATTAAGCACATATGCTTCCCCCAATACATACGTGGCCAACACCTGAAAACGTTTATGTGCACAAGTTGGGGAAGGGCATAATGTACACAATAACTCTGTAAGTTAAAGCTAACTAAAGGAAACTCAGCAGTGGAATTAGTAAATGTGCTCTAACCTTCTCTAGTAGCTCACTTCTGGGATCCTGGCAATGACATAATGTGTTATGCTTCCTATTTTCAAAAYAGAAGAAGAAAGATTTTTTCCCTCCATACCACAGAATTAAGATGGCCAATGAGTATATCTTGCAGTCAATGTAAGAATTAAGTGGCCAGGCACGGAGGCACACACCTGAAATCCCAGCAGCTYGGGAGGCTGAGGCAGGAGGATCATGTTCAGAGCCAGCCTCAGCAACTTAGTAAGGCCCTGAGCAACTCAGTGAGACCCTGACTCTAAGTAAAATACAAAAAATGCCTGAGGCAGGGGCTCTGTGTTAAAGTGCCCCTGGGTTCAATCCCTGCCACCCCCCCCMAAAAAAAAGAGAATTATGTTAGTTTCAAATATGGTATTATTTCTTACTGAAAGGAAAAAACAACTAAAGGAAGTGGTTCAAAGTGGAAAAAAGTCAACAACATGGTAATAATTGGAAAAAAAGAGAAGAGAATAAAATGAACTCTTATACCAAGAAACTACAAGCATGTAAGARGTGACATAAAAAGAAATCTTCCCACGGTAGATGAAAACAAAGTGGTGAGAAGCCACTCCAGGCAAACTTGAACCAAGTCAAATACAAAAAAAAAAATCTTACATTTTATAGGAGAGAAAGAAAAAATCTGAGCCTCTTACAATAAAGTAGCATTAGATATCTTAGCAAGGAAATCATCATTCTTCTAAGAACAATAGGGAAGCAATAAAAATCTGTGGCCTTGTTTGGAAATGCCCAAAATAGACAGAGTTGGATATGGAATGGTAGGACACTAAGGTACCTGGTGGCAGGGCTGTGGCTTCTTTCATAAGGTGAGAAACAGTTACTATTCTCCTGCAGCCAAAGGAGAAAGGAAAGCCAGAGGGAATAAGAATTGTGCTGGTTTTCACATCAGAGCTGGGACTTGGACTCAGTTTTTCTAATTCCAGCCTCACTAATCTTTCCTCTTACCTTATATCAAGAAAGCCCAGCGGTATCTGCAACATTCCATTTCCATTGTTTTATATTGTGTTTTTCAGACTGTGGTGTCAAAGAAATCCAGTGAGTTGCAAGCACACTTTTTTTTTTTTTAATGAGGCAAAAAATAGTAATTATCAGAAGGCATTACAGAGTACAGTCAAGTTTTTTTCTGCAACTTTTGTTTGGGTTAACAAAATATAAACATACATATGTGGTCATAATATACACTCACATACTGTGGGACGCAGTCACTGGGTCAGAAGTAGCAGAAAGCCGGGTTCAGTGGTGCATGCTTTTAATTCTACCAACTCAGGAGGCTGAGGTAGGAGGATCAAAAGTTGAAGGCTAGCCTCATCAACTTAGTAAGGCCCTGTCTCAAAATAAAAAATAAAAGGGGCTGGGGTATTTAGCTCAGTGGTAGAACAGCCTGGGTTCAATCCCAAGTGCTAAATAAAAATAAAAATGAAAGATGGTGATAGATATATAATGACTTCCATGTATTAGTGAGACCATAGGCTACAAGCTCCCCAGGAGAAGAGTTAATGATCTTGGTGAAGCCAAGGTTGCTGACCCATTTTACAGATGAGAAACTGAACTGCAAGGTTCTTGCAGAATCGAGGATCTCCCTGGTCTTTCACTGATGAAACTTGAAAGAGAAGCTCACTCAGGAAAACCAGGCAGCACTTATTCTTATTCTCAGCAGGGCAGGGGTCAGGGTTGGGGTAGTTATCCCTTCTGCAGTTCTGCCGTCCCCAGCTCCCATACCTTGCCTGTTCTTAACCAAGCAGTCTGGAGTTGTTGGTTTATTCCATTTATTCAGCGTCTTCCTTGAGGGCCTACCATGTATCAGGCACTGTTTGAGACACTCAGGGTGCAGTAGTGAACCGGACAATAGGCCCTGCCCTCCTGGGGCTCACACTCTAGGGGACATCTGTTATATTTTTCTGCTTGACCTTCTCAGCTATACCTAGATGGGCAGCAATATCCAGAGCATAAGGAGACAGTTAAGGAATCCAGGGGCCTTCTGACAGCCGGCAGCCATGGGAGTAGTCCTAGGTCTCTGCGATACATGGAGAAGATGACTTGGAGTTGGTTGTCCAATCCATGGTCAGCACAGATGGACAGAATGTTCCAGATGTGGAGTCAGCACATGCCACCCCATCAAGACCACCCTTCAAAAGATGACCTTAGTAATGGACTAGCGAGGATGCCCTTTCCTGTGAGAAGTTCCCAGCAAACCCAGCGGCATCCCAGGAAGAAGAGAAAGCCCATGATTTCTGGTGTGAGGGAATAAGCCAAGGACCGTCAACCCCGATTTGCCCTGGACAGAACTTTTACACTGTCATCACTGTTCACTGTTGTCACAATCCTGGTTCCAAAATCTGATCATCTTGTTCTSTACACTGTTTCTTAAAAAATGGTGTTTACCTTATTTAACTTAAGAGAAAAACTATGCATCTGTTTGGAGCCACGTTGTGACAAAGCTGGGTAGGTGACAAGCTGTGGCGTGACTCAGCAAGATCCTATGCCTGGACACCTGGAGTTCCACCCAGGAGACTAGTTCTTCTGGAAAAAGCACCCTTTTACCTCTCTCTGGCCCACTTTCAAACCTTCATAGCCTCTGGAAGCTCTCTAGATTAAGCCACACATGTGATTAAGCCACAAACATGTGGACATGTTTGTGAAAACATTTCCTTTCCTCACTGTGAAAGGAGTGTGTCATTAGTTACCCCCTGCAGCAGAGGGGAGGGGCCACAGGAGTGAGGCCAGTGTAGTGGGGGGAGCATCCCAATGGGAGCTGGGGACCCCTGGCTTCAGGACTTGACCATGTGGTTTGAATGTAGTCATTGAACATCACGGATTTTCTATATAGTCAACTCAGAATTTGGGGAAATGATGTATTTTATAGTTGCTATGAGGCTTTGATAAGATAATACACAGAAAAGCATCCTACAACAGGTTAGTTTCCTTCTTGTGAATATTCTAAGAAGTTAACCACAATCAAGACCACCAAAAATACAACTAAGCTGAATCTCAAACATGAAGGCATAGGAATGAGTATTCTTACACACACTGTAATCATCAAGACAAAAAAAACAAATGTTTTCAAGTTCAGCCACCATAAAATAAGGCTAGTTTTATTTGTTTGCTGTGCAATGACAAATGAGAGCCTCTTGTGTTACATGTCTAAAGTTTGAATATCAGGTAATTTCTATGCTAGGAAAAAGTATAAAGTATTAATGACTACCTGCCCACATTGAGTGGTGTGAAACCTCAGGATTCGAGAAGAGCCCAGTTATGGTGAAAAGTAGAAGAGCTAGAGGTGTGGCCAGTGGTGGTGGGCTTGCCCAGCATTCACAGCCCCAGTGCCCCCCCCAAATAAAATACAAATAAAAAAGTAATAGCCTACCATTGACAAAAGTCAGCAAGTCAGGTCTTTGTCCAGTTTAATCTTTTAACTGAAGATTTATAAATTCTTAGAAGATGGGACACACCTAACAAATATCTTGGGTATTTATTCTGTGTCTAGCAAAATGCTAGGCAAGTACAGGCGGCTGGAGAGGTGAACGTGTGAATAAACAAACACTTCCCTTGTGCTGACAGTATCAGAATCACTGCCCAGTGGAGTGGGCAGRGAGTGGAAGGTTGGAGTAGTTCCACCTGTTCTCTTGGAAGTGCTTTACCTGGCCCTTGTACACCAGTCCACTGGCTAGAGTTTTCCTTAGGTTCATGCCTGTGTTGGCCCACTGCTTGTCAATAACTACTAGCTACTTATAACCATTATTGCTTCCCTCAGTGATAATTAAAAAGAAGTTAATTGACAGAGGAGGGCATGACTGACTCACCTGAGCAACATTTGAGAACACCTATTCATTATTCACCTTTTTGTTTCAACACAAATGGATGAAACTCTAGCCTTTCAGAAAACATGTAGAGGGTCCCAGATGGAGCTCAGAGATAGAACAATTGCTTAGCATGCATGAGGCTCTGGTTTTGATCCCCAGCACCTCCAAAAAAAAGGGAAAACAAGGAAAGAAAGAAAGAAATTACTTAATTTTTGTTTCCATTTGATTAGCCATGGAGTGTTTGAGAACGTCACGGAGCAATTCCTGGATTTATCCCACTGTGATCCTCTGTTTATTTGGATTTTTCTCCATGATGAGACCCTCAGAACCATTCCTTATCCCATATTTATCTGGACCAAATAAAAACCTGACCAGCACAGAGGTAAGTTAATACACATACATATCTTAATGGACTTCAGTTTTACAGGACTTGAACAAGGACATAGGTCTCATTTAATTTGAAAACCTCAGTGAGTTCCATTTTCATAGTACTTGTCACACAGTGGAGTTATGCTTCCTCCTCACATTTGCAAAACTGGGCAGCCAAGCATATTACCTGTATAATAGTCCTGACATTAGTCTCAATGCATAGGAACCTTTCAGATCTTTATTGACTTTATTACACTTACCCTAAAAAAAAAAAAAAAAAAAAAAAAAAGTCAATTCTAAGCACAGGCTCTAGACCTAGTGAACTGGAAGGCTGCTGGGTATAAACAATATCTAATAGAAAATTTAAATATAATTATGCATCACATAACAAAGCCATCGAAGAATCTACATGATGGTGGTCCCATAAGATTGCAACAGAGCTGAAAAGGCTGAAAACTTCCTTTCATCTAGTGATGCCATAGCCAACTTAAGTCACAGCACAATGCATTACTCTTGTGATTGTATCAATGTGAGTATCAACAAATCTACCACACTGCCATGCATATAAAAATATAATGTGTATAATTGTGTACCATATATAGTATATGTATTTTTTCTTCCTTCCTTCCTTCCTTCCTTCCTTTCTTTCTTTTTGCTGTGAATTAAACCCAAGGTGCACTTCCGCTTACCTATATCCCCAGCCCTTTTTCTTAAATTTATTTATTTATTTTTGTAGTAGTAGATGGACATCATGCCTTTATTCAATTTGTTTATTTCTGTATGCGGTGCTAAGTCTCAAACCCAGTGCCTCGCATGTGCTAGGCAAGTGCTCCACCACTGAGCCACAGCCACAGCACCCCCCCAACCCTTTTTTTTATTATTTATCGTGAGTGAGGCTCTCACTAAGTTGCTCAGGCTAGCTTCAAACTTGAAAGTCAGTGAGATCACAGGCATGTGTGTGATGCCTGGCTATAACAATTCTTCTTTTTAAAAAAAAATCTTTATATATTTTTATGTGGTGCGAGGCAAGCACTCTACCATTGAGCTACAGCCCCAGCCCTAATACTTCTTAATAATAATAAATGACTTCCTGGTTTATGCATTTACCACTTTGTGGTTTTTAATCACTGTTTTAGAATGTAGTCCTACTTGTAACAAGACAAGTATGGAACAGCATGCCCAGGACCACCAGCAGCAGCCTCCTACATCTTTATTGCTTGTGGGTGTTTACGTATCTCCTGTTTGCCGCCATCTCTTGACCACATCTTTTTCTCTTGAATGTAATTTAATCTCCTGGTATTTTGTTCATCATGGCCTGGGAGCAATAGGCTATACCATATATACGACATACCTAGGCATGTAGTAATCTATGCCATCTGGGGTTGTGTAAGTACACAAAGAAAATTGCTCAATGAAAAGTGCTCAGTGATGCATTTTTCAGAATATGTCCTCATTGTTAAGTGACACATTCCATATTTCTTTAGGTTGTTATTCAGTTTTAAAACTATTTAATAGGGATTGCAGTTGTGGCTCAGTGATAGAACTCTTGCCTAACTTGTATGAGGTTTGGGGTTCTATCCTCAGCACCACATAAAAATAAATAAAATAAAGGTATTGTGTCCACATACAACTAAAAACAATTTTTAAAAAATTATTTAGCAGCAGGTGAGACATTAACAGCTTTCTCTCCCAGCACTCCCTCCTTCCCTAGAAAGCCAAATTCTCTTACTTAAAAGATCTGTCTCACTGGACTTGGGTGGCACATGCCCACAACCCAGCAACCTGGAAGGGAAGCAGGAAGGTGGCAAGTTCAAAGGCAGCTTCAGCAACTTAGTGAGATCCTAAATAATTTAGCAAGATCCTGTCTTAAAATAAAAAGAGCTGGGGATGTAGCTCAGTGGTTAAGCTCCCCTGAGTTCCATTCCCAGTACCCTCTCCCCAAAAAGATTCTTTTTCTTTAAAATGAATGCAACCAGAAAATGTCCCCACCGGCTAGAAAAGTATCCTGGGCTGGTTTTACCACCTCCAGCCACAGCCATGAAAACGTTATGGGTGGCTCCACCAAGAGGGCTGATTGGTGCGGGTTTACTGGTGGTGAGGTGGCAGGGCTGAAAGGCAAGCCTGTTCTGTAAAATCACTTGCGGTGAAGGTTTCAGTACCCCCAAGCAATTCGGCAACAAAGGAGCCAGAGATGGTAGTCACACCTGTAATCCCAGTGAGTCATGACCCGTAGACAAGAGGATCACAAGTTCAAGGCCAACCTTCTGAATTTAGAGGGACCTCAAAAGTAGTGTGCATCTGGGTTTAATCCCTAATACTAAAAAAAAAAAAAAAAAAAAACAGGAATTTTTTTTTTTAAGACTTGGAAAACCAAAGGGGCAGGGGTAGCTTTTTAACTAATACACTTAACTGTACATATTATTAAAACTTAAATTTACTATAAAATAAAATTCTGATTGCCCACTCTCCCAATATATTCTCTTGGGATAGTGTAAGTATGTAAGTTAGGTAGGATTCCCCCCACCTTTCTTTGGTGGAGGGAAAGGTTCTGGTTGCTTTTGGACCCCCGTGGGAAAGGGGAATATCTTTTAGAGGTTACCTTAAAAATCTGTTTTCAATCATGTGATTCCACAAGAATATCTGGTGAGCTACGGAATGTGAGGTACTCACTGCAGGTCCCCTAGAGATGGCCGGGCTCATGGTCACACTGTGTCTCACTTTGCAGATCACCAATGAGATCCTTCCTGTTTGGACCTACTCTTACCTGGTGCTGCTGCTCCCCGTGTTTGTCCTCACTGATTACGTCCGCTACAAGCCGGTCATCGTCTTACAGGGGATAAGCTTCATC